AGCCGGGCGAGAGGGTATGTTTTCCTGGCACTATAGTGGTCCTTTAACATACACACTCTGGATCCCCTATACACACACTAGATTCCTTGTAAGCAAACACATTCTACACCCCTAAACACACACACACTATAGCCTGTATGCACACACTTGCTATATCCCCAATACACACATTCTCTACAGCCCATAGCCACATATGCATCACATTACACCACAAACACAACACGACTAAAACCGACCTTATTACACAATACCACACCACGACCAACTCACTCTACACACACGCAATACCACAAGCAGGCTCCAAACACATCCACAATACTCTTTCCTGGCCCTTTTGTCTCCTGGTATCCATTTATAGAGACACCAGAGACAAGTTGCAAGGAAACACAGTGCAAGCATGTTATTAAATTTGCTTGCGCTGTGCAGAACAAATACAGGGCTTTTTTCTCATGCTGGAGCTCTTCAGCAGAGCTCTGCGCATGGTCTGCCCTGGAAGAGCATTGAACCAACATGCTCACTTTGAGAGGAGGCGTGTCTGTCATTGGTGACAAAACACACCTCCTCTGCCCCGCCCCCTTTTTAGTGGGCCGCCGTGTTAAAAAAATGCCCGGGCCGAATTTTTCTCCCAGTCCGGCCCTGGGTAGAGCAATAACCAGATGGGAATTTGCCCATAAATGTACCTGTGTTCTTAGGTATTGAATAGCAAGTGTAGTTACCTGGGTATACCGTGACTCCATCAGGTGGTCTAACGTGTCCCTGGGTGATCGGGTAGACCTTTTTCCATGATTCACACGTTGAGGAGTTAGTGGTAGATTGTGCATAAAGACTTAGGACACATAATTCAACATCGGGAGGTAGGTTTAAAGGCACCGTACCCAAGTGGGGCCTGTCTCCCCCACATACATAACAATTAGTCTTATTGTGTGAGTTAGCATTATATCTCATCCATTCCAGCCATAAATTAATGTCTGAGAACCCAGTTTTTTCCACTGCCATCGTGTCTTCGAAAGAAGGATTGGCTATGGCTACCATATCATGTAAAGTCTTGATATGTGGTTTCAGTGGGTTAACAGTCATGTGAGTAGTTCCTACCCAGTCAGGTGAGGTAAGCATATCTTGTAGATAGAATGTCCCCAACTTATTGTATGAGCCACCTCCCCTCCAGTACATGCCCATTACATATTCCCCGCATCCTTTGGACTGGGGTGCTCTATGTTCAGTGTGAGTTTGATGGGTGTTGACCCGATAGGTTTACTTAAAGTCATTCTGGAGAGTAGAGGTTTCCCGTCTTTGTCAATTCCTTCTAGGGCACTCTGGGGCTTATAGCCCCATGTTCTACCCGTGTTCCACCCAGCCGCCTTCCATGAACTACAATGATGTCCCCAGGACCCTCCAGTCACACAAATGTACAGGTCTTTCTTACTGGGTATGTCCTTGTTTATAGCAGCATATTGTGTTTGTGGGAAGGTGCAAGTAACAATATCACAGTAATCAAAGGTAATAGTAGCTACATCTGTGTTTGACGAATTGTACCAAAAAGTGTAGACATGGTTATCTTTGGTTATGGCCACCTGCTGGGCCCATGCAAAGTCTAGCAGCATAAGAAAACACAAGAAACGCAATAAATTCATAGCTCAGCAGGGACAACTTCTTCTGGAGCAGGCACTTTCTTGCAGTGTGAGGCGTGTATCCAGGAACTCTTCCAGGCCAATTTAACTGAGGTAGCTGTGGTTAGGAGCACTTGGTACTTGGTAAGGACCATCAAATCTTGGCTCAAGGGTGTGTTTCCTGAGAAATTTCTTGACCATAACCCAATCACCAGGAAGCAACTTGTGTGTACCTGTATTCGACTCAGGATCTGGAATAGAAGAAAACACTTGGGCATGGATTTTGGTCAAGGCATGATTTTGGTCAGTTACATAATCTACCATAGCATCTGACTGAATCTGAAGCTGTTGAGGGAAATAACAACCTTATCTTGGTGCTGTGCCAAACAGGATCTCATAGGGAGATAAGTTGTATTTTCCCCTAGGGGTGTACCTTACACTAAATAATACTAATGGAAGACTCTCAGGCCAGGGCATGTTAGTTTCTTGGGACATCTTAAGCATTCTGGCCTTCAATGTGCCATTCATGCGTTCTACCTTACCACTACTTTGTGGGTGATATGGTGTGTGGAATGCAAGGGTCACCCCCAGTGCTGACCAGACTTCCCGTGTCAATGAGGCGGTGAAGGAGGTTCCTTGGTCGCTTTCAATCACCTCTGGAACTCCGTACCGGCAGACAATTTCCGTCAGAAGATGTTTGGCTGTGGTCCTTGCGGTGAGATTAGCCACTGGGAAAGCTTCTGGCCACCCTGAGAACATATCCACAATGACTAGTGCGTATTCATAACGTCCACTCTTTGGCATCTGGGTGTGCTCAATCTGTATCCTCTGGAAATGGTACTGGGGCATAGCCAGGTGATTGGGTGC